GTGGGAGCAAGAGTCCTGTCTGATGAAGAGTGGGATTAAGAGGTCGGAGGAGGTGTGGTTGACTTTAGGGAGGGACCTACCTCACAGACAATCAGTAAGAGAGAAACCCAATTGCCACTATGTGAGTTTATTTTGGTATGTTCAAGTTGTTTGCGTCACCTGTGGTTTTCAGGAAGACCCTCAGTGCATTGGTTGAAGCATATATTACTTTCTGCAATACGGATGTGTAAGATAGATTTTTTTTTTGTTGTGGAAAATTAAAATGTGATCATTGTGTTTGGCCATACTCTATGCTTGTTGAACAGTCTCATCCAGATGATGTGTGTTGGTCTACTGAAAATTTGGTTCAGGGTGTTCAAGGGTGGCAATTTGTTCAAAGCCTGGGGAAAAGGGGTTCTAGTTCAGGAAAATTTCTATCAATATAAGGTTTCCTAGTATGAAGTCTTTAACTGAGGTGGATGTCGCAAATATTCCCCTCTGATGGGGAGCTGTAAGGCCTCTGGGAGTCCTGCTTGGATTTCCAATTTTGTGTGTTTTGCATAATTGATCTCTGGAGCTCTGACTCCTTTGCACAGTAGTATAGGTTGCCATTTTTTGTATTCACCGTCTGGAAAGTTTGTCCTATAGCAGTACTTTCAAGCTATTTGAAAGGCAGGAATGATTCAATTATTGTGGAAATCTAATGGTCTAAATTTTCAGTCCTGATATTACAGCTGTTTTCTGTGTGTCTTAAGTATATCATAGTTCTTGTAGAGTCTCTTCCTTGTAAAGATGCTGGTAGAGCAGACATTAGGATGGTATAGCTGAGACCACAGTTTGGTCAGAGTACAGGCTGTTCTGGCTATTGATTAGATAAGCCGGCACCTGCCACTTTCTGTTGTTCTTATGGTGACCAAAACAATGGGAAATACTTTTGTTCTTGGGCTTCTGTTTTAGGCACTTCTGCTATATTGATGTTGTGGCTTTGATTTGGGCATGCAAGGTTTCTTCCAAGTGTCTATTTAACTCATCAGTAAGAATGATCATGCTTATAGTGTTTTCCTGTTCTGTGTGGACTTAGTTTACAAACATCATTAAATTACCTCAAGATCTGCAGATGAAAGGCATGTTATATATATATTTTTTCTTTTACTAACAAGGCTACCTTGTGTAGTGTTCAAACATGATAGGGAGCTGTAAAGTGCTTTGAGCCCCTGAGATAAAAAGTGCTGTAAATCATGAATGAGGTATTAATAATATCCAATGTAGCTAATGATAACTTTAACAGCTAGGCAGCTGTTGGGCTATAACTGTTATCTATCTTATTAATGCAAAGAAATTGCTTTCTACCACTGCCTGACATTCATACCTATTAGGTCAATTGACAAAGGAAGTGTGTGTGTGTGTGTGTATGTATGTGTGTGCGCATGTGTGTATTTCTCTTACTATCTAGCCTGAATGGTGTCTCTGAAATTAAAATTTGAAGAGCCTCCCTGCGAGCTGATAGGACACAACTGCTGGGTGTTGTTTACTGCTTTCCAGCGTAGGTATACCACCATCCCTGTCCTCCTGCGTTTAAGTTGTCGAGGCTTAAACTTGCAACGCATAGCTTTAACAGCTAGAACAGGTGTTTTGGAGAATTAATGATTTAACTATTGCATTAACAAACTGTAAACTACTCAAAACATCAACAAATTAGTGTCAATTTTGATAGCTCTGTGGCTTTAGTCAAACACTATAATCTTTTGCAGGTTTATTTTCTGGTATGCAGCACTTCCTAATTTACAGCGGGACAGTGCAGTGGGAATATGGCCAACTATCTCTGCAAGACCGTCAACACGTAGCATTCTTAATTTGTGTTGACCAACCACGCCTGCCAAAACGTTACTATTTTTGTAACTAGGGCTTGGTGGCAGGATGAACATATATCATCCTACAAAGCAACACTTTTATTTACGATCTTGTTATTTTAGGAATAATTGGCACAGAACAAATACGTTTCCTCTATTATAAATGTCATGTGCTTCCCTGAGGGAACTGATACTGGCGGGGGGTTGTTACAGAACGTACTCTTTCCAGTAAAAATCTTATCTCTGCTGGAATCCATGGCAAAGCTTGGACTGTAGGGCCTGAGTTTCATTGTATGTTTTGTTTAGTTTATATACTGTTCTCTGGGGTAGAAACTGTGTTTCCATTATATACGTATGGAGTCTGGCTATTTAGTTCAAGCTCTGGAGGCCAGTGCTTATAGCTCTAAAGTCGCTGATCCTCACCCTGTTATGTCAGCTAAAATAGGGGCTGTTGTACAATCCCTAGCAGTATGGTTTCCAGCGGTTTCAGTATATGTGTCGTCTCGGAGCCCTCCAGGCTCTCTCACCTTACACTCGCCTGCTTTTCAGTTTGTGAGGCAGCATCCTTTGTCAGGCTGTGCCACATCTGAGAGATTACTACAGTGCTTTTATCTACAGACAGCAAAGTGTCTGAGTTTTCAGTCAAATCCTGCTCAGACGTTTTAGTGTTTGTTTTCTGGGAACAGAGTGCAATTGCATTCTGCTAGCCTAGCTGTTCAGAGATGGCCAGTTTTTATTCTGTTTGTGGAAAAAAAAAAAAATTGCTATCAGAAATGCATTCATGCCCAGACTTAGACAGCCAACATGCTAATGAAGTCTTGGCTCAATTAAAGTTTGTGGGGACACTTGCCGTTCTGACTTCATCAGATCATGATTTTCCAGTGTTTATGAATACTGTGCTCTTGCAAGAGAGCTGCTTTGTGATCAGTTCAGAGTGGAAAAAATCGCAGAATTGCAATGTTTTTAAATAGCAATATAAAATCCATTTCAAACTATTTTATAACTTAGCTTTATGCATTTGTAAGACTTCTTAAATTTTGTATTTTAAAAAAGTGTATTTTTGTTCTTTTCTCTCCCTTAAGGTCAAACGTCTGCCCAGAGTTTGAGTTGGCATTGGTGGGACACCGGCAGCCGTGTGTTCAAGCCTTTAGTCGTGTGGTCAAGATGTGGAAACAAGGTTGCACAGGGCGGAGGTGGTGTATGGGCTATGAGAGAAGGTAATATATTATGAATTCTGTTACTGAAATTTAATACAAGTTCTTTGTACCTTTTTTCATGAGAATTTTTGAACTCTATTTCACCCCCAGAAATATAACCATTACTTATGGATATATCATATCCTGCTGAGATTTTTTCCTTTTTTAAGACTTTTTATTGAACAGAAGAAAATGTGACTTTTTGGGTGTATTATGAACTTCTTGTGATGTAAAGCCCAGCAAAGTCAATTTTTTTTCGTACAAATTTATCCCATTCCTATATCAGGTGAAGTACAGCTGCCAAGTCATATGCTTTGAAAAATGAAACTTCTTTCTATTTATGTCCTGTGTTAAGAATTATTGGAAGATCAGGCTCCCAAAAAACAAAAATAAAAATCTATCATTAAATGCCATGCCGTTATCTCTGACTAGTCTTAATACAGTCACCAGAATATATGTGGACATGCCCTGTAGTAGAGCTATTGGAAGTTATGATGCCTTTCACTTTACTTTTTTCAGACCTGGTCAGTAGTTCCTATTATAAACAAAATGTTGTAAACATGATGTAGGAGTAATCTTTGTTACTGATGAGATGTGAATAAGCTGAATGGAAGTTGTGATTGTTCTCTTCAACGATCTCTCTTCAAAGGTCTGGGTATTACACAGTTTACAAGCAGGTATACAGAATGGAGCATCAGACTGTCTATAAATGCTGCCCTGGATGGGTCCAACAAGGCAATGAACCTGGCTGTTTGCACTGTAAGTTGACTGTAAAACTGTGATAGGACAAGGACAGTACATACAATATCCTTAGGCCTTACTTTCTAACTGCATTTTACTTTTAGAAATATGGATTTTATGTCTTGTTATTCATAACTGGAATTTCCCAGTTATAAAGAGTGGTAATCTGTTTATGGAGAGAGAATCTTCTAAAAATACAGAAGCTGTTAGATGCAAAAGTACAGAGTATCTCTAATTCTAAGCTAAAAAGTAGAAATTCTGTTTTTGATTATAGCTGTTGCAGCATTTTTGTGCCAGCCTAACTTACGGGTAGCCTAATTTAGTGCTGTTATCCAAATTATGGAGAGTAAGGGTGCTGTAAGGCACTCTTCTCTTGGACTTGCCACTCATTGTGGAGTCTGACTGGTTTTGGTTCTTTCACTGTTGCTGTTATATTTCAGTAATTGTCTTTTTTCTGCCCTAAGGTTACTCCTCTGATTAAAAATTACTAATAGGAAGAGGTTTTCATCATGATTGGATGTTTTCCTAAAAAATGGAATTAAATTTAAGTGATAAGGAAGCACTTTGTCCACTGCTAACAGGACATGAAAGTGCATGATAACAATCTATTCACTGTTCAGTTTTGCTACTGTTTTGTCAGTAATTGTATTTTCTGTGTGAAAGTTAGCATCTGTTCCTATGTGGTTTTTATCTTCATACCAGCTTGAGGTCTGTATTGAGAGCTTGCTTTTTATGATTATCTTTCTGTATTTAATGAACAGCAAAGGAAACGAGCCTGAGAGGTACTCCTGTTTCTTTCAGCCTGAATCTATTATCTAGTGTGTACCTCTTTTATTTAAGAAGTGTAAGATATGTGTGTAATCTATATTTTAATATCTGGCTTACAGGAGTTTAGAATATTTGAACACCTATGGCAATATAAACTTATTTTTTTCCCAAAAGAGCAGTGCAGGCTTGCCTTCAATTATTTAAGGCGCCGAAGTGGTTAACATTCTCTTATATTTGGTGCATTCAGTCATTGCAAACTTTGCTCCGGTATGTGGTGTTTACCTTATTGTAAGGAAATAATGTTCCTCATTGGAGGATGAGAATTATTGTATCTTCCTTGAACATATATAACCTCTTTTAATGAACCAGTGTTTTCTAAACAGCTCTGCATTATTCTCCACTAATTAAATTTTTTTGTCATTCTGTATTCAGGTAGTATCTTTAGTCCAAATAATGTGGCTCTTCTGCCTCTGAAGCATCTTGAAGTTAAATTACATCATCCCAGTCTGTAATAAAATTATTTTCATTAAAGTTTAATTTTGGACTAAGGTATCATATCAATATCATAGTTATAGCCCTGATAAGTTCTGTTGCAGTCCAGCTGGTTTAATAAAATCAAAAGCTTGTTTTTTTTTTTGATTGACTTGGAAGTTCCTGTTACAGCGGAACTATGACATGAAGAGACAGTTCTGGAGAGTCAAACACCCCAAACCCTGTTTCATTCTGTTTGTTTGTACTAGTGCTGTGCACTGTTGGCACTTGCTTCAATGGAGGGAAATGCTCAGAAGAATCTGGGACTCAGATGTGTCAGTGTCCTGCAGGATTTCAGGGTCCTCGCTGCCAGTATGGTGAGTCAAACGTAAATTGTTTCAAATGCATCTGCTGGGAACCACTTTCACATTGTGTTCAGGTAAAATGTGTATTTAACAATTTATTAAATTACTAATAAATAAATATCATTGACTTCAAATTGAAGATACATCTGCTGTACTTTGACTGTGTGGTGATGCTCTTGTTTTTCCCATCACTTATTACTTTTTTTGTATTCATTTTTAACACAGCAACATGAAAAATTAGGCTGGTTAATAGAGGCTGAGTTTCTGTAAAGGACAGTGCCATTGAATCTTACTGTTGGTGTCAAATGGAATGCCTTTCTACTGCTTGCTTCTGAACTTGCACATTCTTGCGAGTAGCTTGGCGTTCTCGCTAAATTTCTCAACGTTATTTTTAACCTTGCAAAGGTAAGCTGACACAAGTCAAAAGAAAAACCAGCCCTTTGGAGTGGGCTGTGAGTGGGACAAAGGATTTCTCTTTATTAGACAATGTCCTCTTCAACTAAAGCATTCTGTGTTTTGTTCAAAGCAGTGAGATTTTAGTACTTTTTAATTCTTGCATGTTCACATCCTTACCTGGTTTCTATCTTGTGAAATGATGAAGTATAAATGAGAAGGAGAGTATACTGAGGAGGAGCGTAACAATTCTACTTACAACAGTCCACTGAAGAGCTGAAAGGTTAAGCTCTGTGCTTGATACATGGCTTGTGCCACTCTTGTTCCATAACCTGTGTCATACCCTGATCTCTGAACTCCACCAAGGCTTATGTGGTGTCTTGGGTCTTGTGTGGGCTCACTGCGCTACTGCAACGTTCTGTCCATATGAGTAGCAGTCTCTCTCTAGGGGAAGGTAATAAAGCAGCTGGAGTTGCAGCAGGCAAATTAAACATTAAGTGGGAAATGCAAAAATTCATCGAACACGACAATAGAGTTGTTTCCATGAGAGCCTGGTCATAGATGACTTTTTTCATTTGTGAAGTGAAAACAAGCATTTCATTGTAAAAATGCTTTGCATTTCATTTAAACTTCTGCTGTCATCAGACTATACTGTGCTGAAGTCTGCCTTCGGACAATGTTAATTCAAGTAAGCAGACTTAAAATGGTGATGCTGCAATTGTGCAGTTCTATACTACAAATAGAAACAACAAGTTTATGTTGCATTGGTTTATGCAAGGTTATACCAATGAAGATTACTCTGTTACTGGCTTCACAGTAGTACTGCTACTTCAAGGTAAGCAGGGTTGCTCAGGATCTCTAAGGAGCCCATATAATAAGTTTTTACCGTATACAGCACAAGTCTTAGCAAAATCTAGACTGTTTTCAGTAGTCTTGAGTCTGTCTGCATGTCAAAAAAATCTGAGTCAGAACTCCAGCCCCAAAAGCACTGGTTGCTTGGAAATACCTACAGTGCTAAGGCATTCCCAGCAGGCAGATTATGTGGATGCAGCATATGGAGAGCGGCGGTCAGATTTGAAGACTGAAATAAGATTGTGCAGTCTGTTTTTTACAGTGGTTCCAGTTACGTCCCCATGAAATACAATGTGAGGTATCCTGCAGTTTTTGCTCTTTGCAGCTGGGTGGAACTCTGTCTCGGTGGCTTGTCCGCTTTCTAGCGATTCTGAAGGGTTTGAATGGAATCTCAGTAGTCACCATTTTCAGGGTTATACAGTAGTGCCTATCGCAGTCTGGCAGGAGTGAGCTTATAAATCACGTTCTGAAGGAAAAACCTTCTTTCAGAAGGAAGGTTATGGATTCTACTGTCTAAGAAAAGCAAGGCAATTTAGAGCATAAGTCCTCTTAACCATTGCAGGAGTCTCCGGTCGGGTGCTTGTGAGGTTTGTGTAATATTTGTTGCAAAGGGAATGTGGAGCTAGCAGACTTAGCTTCTGTTTTTCTGGTTGATGTTGAAACATCAGCCAGATCATACATCATAGGCAGATCACTGTCTATGGTTTTGGAACATATGTGCTAGAAAGTCTTAATGAAAGAGACTATCATGATATGGGGAGCTGTCAAAGGGTCAGACTTTGATACAGAGACATAATTCCTTGTTCCTTGTGCCACTAGATTGTATCCTCAGACCCTGTCTCTAGCAGGGGTATTCAGGTAGCCCTCTCATGGGCTTTACAGGACGGGGGGGGGGGGGGAAGGGGGGACACAGGTGCATCTAAACTGGGTATGGGGCTGCAAGGAACCTTGCAGAAAGTTACCCATCTGCCACACTAAAATGGTGCATCCTTGGCCATAATCTTGCTCTCTGTCATTTGGGTGTTGTGGCCTTCTGTCCCTCTCCTAACAGAGGAGGAACCACTGGCATTTCATAGCAGTACTCTCATTTGAGCAAAACTGTTGCACGTGCCTGTAGTTCATACATACCTGCACGTTATTTCCCACTCCAATCTCATTGCTTGTCTTTCTGCCGCTTAGCGTTGACAGCTAGTTCTGAAGGTTCATATGTGCAGTAGCTCCAGTGATTCCCCTGCTTTCAACTATGATCTGTAGAAGAAAGACAAGAAATTATTACAAAAGAAGAATGGGTTAAAATTAATTGCTCTAAGAAATGGAAATATTTTTTCTAGAAACTCCTAATCTGGATTTTCTTGTTTGTTGTTGCTTTTACATATGCTATTAAGTTAATTAGCAGCTCAACCTCCTGCAAAATCAAGTTGTTATATATGCATCAGTCTGTACCACAAAGTTTGTAACAGATTGTTGATAATGACTTATGATAGCTCAGTGTATCACAGCAATCTGTAACAGAGATGATTATTCACAATTGACATGATCAGATGACTTTTTAAAGAACTACTATGTTGTTTTAGCAGCCTGTAACATGAGGCTATTTCTGATTAGATGCTGAATGTGTTATGATTCCTGTAACAAGTCATGAAATTCTGACTAGAAATGCATTAACTGTATCTCTTGTATACTTGACTCTGTAGTTTTACTATTTTACCCTCACAAAGAGCAATGAAACTTAAGAGAAAGATTTATGAGTGAAATGGCCAAGCTCTTCATACAGCCATTACAAGGATTCAGTAACAGATTGAGCTGTCTCTTTCATTGTCTGTTGCAATTTGTCTTGTAATAATAGACTCATATCAATTACGGTATAAACTTGCAAGCTGCATTTCTTTCTATTTTTTAACTTGTTTGGAAGTTGTTTCCCATTTCTCCCGGGTCCAGTGGAAGAGAAGGAAGACTTATATCACAAAAAACCCAGCAAAACGCAGTGCCAAGAATGCAGTCTGCTGCAGTGCTGGTTTCATTGTTATTCAGTAGTTGTGCTAGTAATCTTGTTCAAGGCCTGCTAGCCACCTGAGCTGGACGTAGAAGTAAATTAATTTCATTTAGCTTGTTTAATTCAGTATGAAACTCGTACTTGGACATGCAGCTAATGAAAACACTCCAAATCCTACAAACAGAAGTAACTTCATTTATTCCTTTGTACATAAAATTGCCCAATGCAAAAAAGGGCTCTTGAGCATTTTGTTGTTGAGCCTCGAGTTAGTGTTGGTTTTGCAAAATGCCTCCACCTTTCCAGTCTTTTAATACTTAAACTGGAAGCAAGAAGGAGAAATGAAAAGGCTTTGTAATTTTGACTGGAACAAAATCCCAGCATTATGGAGGTTCTGCAAGAGGCTGCCATAATTAAAGAAGAAGACTAAAAATAGAGCATCTCTGAGAATATAGGTGTGTTCAGATGTTAAAAAGTGGGCAAGGAATGACTAAGGTAGATTTTTCAGGAAACAGCATTTGTTATCTTGGCCTAATTCTTTGCAGAAAACTGAATGCAGATTTGAGATGGAATCTGTAAAACACTGGAATATTACAAGTGTCAATATATTGAAACTTTGCACTGGTTTGTTGTAATGCAGGCGAAATCTTAAACGCTCTTACACTGGGAAGCATTTTTTACATTTTGAGACAGTGTAGACTACTGAGTACAGCTCTGCCCTGCTATTTGAGGTAAGAGCTTTATCTTTTACCTGCTACTGACCTTGGGTATGAGTTCAATAACCTATGGCAAATACTATTACTATGCCTCAATTCCTTTGTATATGAAATATTTATAATGATAGTTTGTTCCTTTGTAAAGTGCTCTGAGACTGAAGTAATTAAGCATGTGGTAACAGCACTGGAATGTGTATGTAAAAGCAAAATGCCTGCTGTATGGGTAGCTAAAATGAAATGCTTATGAGATAGATATTCATCAGTTCATTGACTAGCTGTCAATCTCGTCTGTGACTCTGGTCACGTGCTATTAAGATATTGAACTATAAAGATTTTAGTAAATGAAAATGTCAGCAAGTCTTAGTCCAGGTGAATCCAGGAGTTCACACTGTAAAACTACATTTTTTTCTTAAGCATATTTGTTTGAAATGGCAAGAACTCTAGAACTTCTTGCAGCCATAAATACTCTTTTTCTCTCTCCAGCAAACTGTGAAAGATATACTTTCCTTCCCTTTTCTCTAGTAAATACTTCTTCCTGTAAAGAGTTATTTGATAAAACTTACAGTGAATGCAAAGAGTTATTTGATAAAACTTGCAATGAATGCCCTGTTAGTGCCATTCTTGTCTCTCAGAAATTCATATTCTGTTCATTCTTGAGACTCAAGGTCTGGACAAGCCTTACAATATAGTATATCCACAAAAGGTGCTAGAAATTTTCATTTTTTTATAGGTCCCTTAAAATAGCAAATGGCAAGCCTAAAAATAGCATGGCTCTGCTGCCAGAAGAGAGATCTTTATATTCCATGGATCTTTGTTTCCTAGTGGAACTAGATAATGCTTGTGTATTTGAGGGTAGGTTAATTCTTCACATGTGCATATGCTGTGCTGTTGATCACAAGGCTCTTGTCATTGCTAGGGGTTCTCATATTTTCTCATATTTTATTTTCATGTTTTGGCTAGAAGTTCCATAAAGTTGTAGCGAAGAGGAAATGTCATGGTAGTGTGTCAACAAGAGAAAAAAAAATACACAGCAATTCCGAATTAGCCTGTAGGGAGCATGG